TCACTATACTCAAATACATTCCAGCCAATCATGCCCGTATATTTTCAAACTATATATCTTATATATTATGGTATAGACAAGTATGTGCCCTCCCTCCCCCCAGCAGTTGTTAAAGAAAAATGGAGTATTTTCCAGTCAGTTACTACTGAGTGTATTTGCTGCTTCTGCAGACACCTCAAGTACTCCTTCCTTCCCTTCTCCTTTCCTTAGAGAGCTTACTCTGGGCTTTACTTTCTGACAACTGCCTGGTTTCCCCTCCAGGCTATGAATCTAGGTCCTGAGGGTTGGAAGGTGATGGGGGTGGGGGTGGGGGTGGGGTGGACAGGGCAGGGAGGAGAGAGAGAGAGTAGGCAAGTAGAGGGCTGGGGACTTCTATCTCCCAGTGTAAGCACCTTCGCTTCATAGTTGTCAAGAGAAGCCAGGGGACCTCAAGTCATCCCTAAGGAAGGAGTGGGGACAAGGGCCCCTCAGATTCAAAGCTAGGTGGGGTGGAGAAGTGATACTTTCCCTTCTATCTCCCAAGCACCGAGACCTATGAACTGTCTCCTCCCAAAACAAGCTTTCCCCAGTCTTTTGTGGGCAGTGTCACCAGGGTAGAAAAGGGCCATATAGAAGCTGGCATTAGTTGGAGCTGCCCAAAACATAAAAGCAGAGGAGCTGGGGAGGGGCTCAGAGAATCACTGGGGGAAGGGGCTAAAAGGACACTGAGGGAGAGGGAAGGAAGGTAGGAGAAGAGGGGAGGGAGGTAGGAGAAAAGGGCAGGGAACGGAGAGGGGCACTGACAGAGGAGGACAGAGGGCTGGGGGGAGGGCATCAGGAGACAGGAGAAGTGGGTTGGGTGGGAGGGGACACCAGGAGAGAAAGGCAGGGGGCTAAAGGGAAGTAGGGCAAGCAGAAATACTAGATGAGAAAGAGGCTAAGGGAGAGGAAAGGATCTTGGGGAAAGGGTCAGTGACTGAGAGAACTCCAAGGAAAAAGGGCAGAGGCTGGCGTATCAGTTCTTAGAGCATCTTCTGCTCCCTACTGCTTCCTGTCCGTCTCTGGCTTGGGAGTCCTGAGTTTCTAATAAGCCCCCGGAGCGGGGAGAGTGGGGGTGGAATACTGTTTCTAGGCATGGGTTTAATTCAAAAATTCTGCTGTTGGAAAATCTCATTGCTCCCCATTCCAACCTGGACTCCCAGAAGGAAGTCCCAAGGTGGGGGAGAAAAAAGAAGTTACCCCTACAAGGTACCCCACTAGTCTTTGCCCCACAGGAGTGCCCACAAGGCTTGAAGGTGCAGCACCGGGATCCCTGGGTTACAGGGGGCAGATATTCCAGCCTCTCTTCCCATTCAGTACCAGGGACCGTCTGCTGGCCACACCACCCTACCAGGGAAGCTTCACATCCATGCCTCCCCTAGCCCCCCTGCCCAGCTTCAGTTCTCCAATGCCCATCCCTAATGCCCAGTGGGCACTCACAGCTCCGTCAGGTTCTCCAAGCTTGTCAGGTTCTCCAAGCTTGTCAGGAAGCCAAAGCTGGTGAGAGCTCCTGGCTTCGTGCAGAGCAGCCCTGAGGGGCCAAAGGGGCAGCAGGCATGGGGGCAGTGGGCAATGCCTGAAGGCACCAGAAGCAGCCAGGCTAGCAGGGCCCAGGGGCAGCCCTGCCTGCCAAGCTGCCCGCTCCTCCCGGCTCTGAGCATCTCCCCCTCACTGCCTCGGCCAGCCTGACTGCACTCACCCAGCTGCTCCCAGCCCAAGCTCCCCCCACCCACCCCCAACATGTGGACGGGGCTGCTTTAAAGGGACAGCCGTCTTAAAGGGGAGGAGCTGGCTCTGCCCCTCTCCCCCAATACCCCTAGCCTCTGTTCCTTTCCATGAGTACTCAGCCCTCTCCCCTCTCTTTAAGTCCACCCCCACTCCTGTCCCTTCTCTTGTGCCCCCTGCCCCCTTCACCAGTGTCCTTCAGGCGCCTGCACCTCTCTTTCAGTGTGCCCAGCCCCCTCCTCTCTTTTCCATCATCTTTCCCAGCCCCTGCCCTTGGCTCCCAGTGACCCCTCAATCCCCCACCTTTCCCATAGTATTCTTCAGCCCCCTTCTCTCCCCTAACCCCTCTCTTTGGATCTTGCCTCCTCCCTCACTACTTCATCCCTCCCCACCCCTCAGTGCCTCTAGACCCCACCCGTCTCTCTCAGTATCCACCCCTCCCCCCCAACAGCTTCTGCCTTCTCCCCCAGTTTCCCTTTACCCCCTCCCCTCGTCTACATGGCGTCTTCCTCTAAGTTCCCCCCAGCTCTTGCCCTTTACTCTTATACCTCCCCTCCAAGGGTTATTATTCCTCCAGGGGTTCCTCCACCTGTGTATTCCTGGGACATGTAAATAATTTTCTGTGGACTTAGCTCTTTTTGATTAACAAGGCCAGGCTGGGAAGCTCGCTTGTTGCTTCCCCACCCAAGATGCAGCTGCATTAATGCACCTCAATAGGGATCCTTGGAATGGGAAAAGATCGAAACCCAATGCCCCTGTCATCATCCTAGGCGTCCTCTGCCTCAAATTCACTAAGGGATTTGGGGGTGGGGAGGAGTCGCGGATTTCATCACTTATTGAGCACAGGATAAAATTATCTAGAAAATCTTTTACAGAAAGGAAGAGAGAGAACTGGAAGCAAGGGGAATTGAGGAGAGAATGTAGGAAAAAGAGGGAGGAGATCCCAAAGTGGAAGAGGCAGAGCTAGGGTAGAGGTCTCCCCAAAACGGTCAGCCAATGTCAGGTTTGAGCTGCGCCTACATCGGGGAGGGGCGTCCGCCTTGCTCTCCTTAGAATGGCCACGGGGTGGCGCCAGAGACGCGCGTGGTTTTGCTTTTAGGCTTGAGTAAGGATACGGACTTGATCTGTGATTTCATTTGTCTTAAGAACTCCCGGATGAGGAAACTCCCTCTGCAAATGCAGATCAGTACCCCCTCTGCGATTGTATATAGTTTTAGACAGAGTAACCTGGGAGCCCTCAGAAGTTGTGACTTGGCCAGCGTCACACAGCCAGCAGTATAGGAATTGAGACTTGAATCTAGGTTTTCCCGACTTGCAGATTGCCTCTCCATGTATTTTTATGTCAGTAGGTCAAAAAGCATTTATTAAGCTCTTACTGTATGCGAGTCATTGTACTAAATAAAGGCTGGAGATGCAAAGAGCAGAAAAAACAGTGCCCCACCCTCAAAGAACTCATTCTAACATGCAAAAAAAAAATGTATACGTCTAAACACAAGCTATACAGCATCAAGCCAAGAAGCCTTAAGACCCACCATATGCTGGGCACTGTGCCAAGTGCTGGAGTATCCCAGTATCCTCGCTCACACAGAGCATTTTAATGTTTTAAAAATGCTTTTCCTACAACTCTGAGAGGTAGAGTGCAAGTATGACCATTTTACAGATGAGTAAACTGAGGCTTAGAGAAGAGATTTGCTCAGCAAATGGCAAGTCCTCTGATACCCAGAGCTGAGGTTCTTGCCACTACACCCACTATGCTGTGCTTGTGTTAGGGGTGGGGAAAGGGGTCCCTTGTAGGATGTGAGGAGTGGTTTAGGGGCAAGGAGGACGCCAGCCCCAGGTTCTCGCTAGTAAGGACGTGGCCCAACACTACGAGGCAAGCAGGGCAGGGGAAGGAAAGGAACCAATCGCCCGCCCGTACAGAGGCGCATCGATTTCCACGCGGAGAAATTAATAGGTCTTCTCTTAGCTCTTCAGAAGGGCCGGCGCTCCTGGCCAAGTCAGGCTCTGCTTACGCCCAGCAGCCTCTTGTGTCCCCTCCAGAAACGCCGGCTCCGTCTCTACATCCCAGTTGGCAGCCCTGGAAAGCATCATACCTGGGTTCCCTCCCCAGTTCCTGCCCCTATCCACGCACTCCCAAGAGGGAGTGGGGCACTACTGTTTTGTATCAACGTTGATCAGTCCAAGGTGGCTTCGGGGAAGGAGGCTGTCGGGCACTCTGACTGTCCCCTGTTGACTTCCCCAAGGTTTCTTGTGTAGCCGTTCTTCCCTCTACCCACTCTGCTAGCGTCCCAAAGACCGATCTCTGCCCCTTTCTCAATGTATCCCCAGCCTGTCCGTTCCTGACTTTCCTCCTTTCTTACCGTTTCAACCCCTCCAGTCCCACCTGAAGAGATGAGTTGTTACTGTTGTTAGATGAGTTTAGGATTTCCTTGCTGCCGCTGTCAGAAAGGATGTCTTCTGGATGAGTTTGGGGCTGGGATATTTTCTCTTGGCCTCCAGTACAAATCTTGTACCCCCTCACCTCTGCCCTTTGGCCTTATTTTCCCAATAGATATGTTCCCAATGCACAGTCGCACCCTCCTCCCTCTCAGTTGTCAGGCTAAATATTTTGACTTCACTGGAAAGAGAGGGATGATGGGGAGGTGAAGCAAGAGGGGGCAGTGGTACCTCCCCCCACTACCCCATTGCTCTCAGACCAATGGGCTTTAGGACTACAATTGGAGGCGGGCAGGGGGTTTCCAGTTCTCTCTGCCTGCCCAGCTTCTTTGCTTCTGGCCCCTAGCGATTCCACAGAGCGAGACACAGCTCCAAGCTGAAAGAGATATAAGAAGCCCTTGCCCCATCGCCACCAAGGTCGTGCTTCGCCGTGCTCCCCACTCCTATTCCTTCTCAATTGAGCCCTAACTTGTGCTTCTTTCAGTGTCTTTGTCTCTCTCTGTCTCTCTCTCTCTCTCACAAACACACACACACACATACACACACACGAGTTTTCTCCTCTAATTCCATCTTTGTCACTTCTCAGTCCCTGAATTTTTGGGTTTTCCCTCATCTCTATACCTTTCTCTATTATTTTCCTAGTTTCTGACACTCTGCTTTTCTCCTTGTGCCTTTCTGTCTGCCATCTTTTGAGTCCCTCAGCATCTCTGTCCCTCGGGGCTACTCTCAGGCAACCCTTTGCATGTCCTGCCCCCAAACTCTACCCCTGCCAGGCTGGACAACACGGAGCTGGGGCTGGGTGTGGGCTCGGGGCCAAGACAATGACAGCACCCAGCTCTTGGCTCTGGGGATCTTGCCTGCTGATGAACTTCCTCCCTTTGGGATTTGGCCTGGATACTCCAGAGGGTGAGTCCTCAGCACCTTCTCCCAGAGCTGGGAGACAGGACACATGGGTTCTTCTCTTGAATTTGGCCTCATTGCATTGTCTCTGACAGCAGTAAAAAGGGCTTCGCTTTGGTCACAGAAAGAATTCCTTGAAAGAAGAGTGGCCCGTTCCTTGAAGGGGGCTTGTGGCTTCCTTTTTGGAGCAATTGTCAGTAGGAACAATAAGATGATGGTCACTCTAGCTGGAATATCCATGATCCCAGAGCCAGGGTGAGAATGGAGGAGAGGGACCTTAGAAGCTCCTTGTCTATGACACACATCGAGGTAGTAGAAAGTAGGTTTAAATCCAAACTTTGGCATGTATTACTTGTGTGATGCTGGGTGAGTATCAATTGTTTTGGCCCTTAGTTTCCTCATCTATTGATAAATTTCCTATTTATCCTGCATCTATCTTGTTTGCACGTAGTCGTTTGCACGTTGTCTCCCCCAGCAGACTGTGAGCTCCTTGAGAACAGGGACCATGTATTGCATTTCTTTGTATGCCTAGCATCATGGTCAGCACATATAATGGTACTTTGAGGTTCGCAAAACATATACAAATATTACCTCATTTGATCTTCACAACAACGATGGGAAGTAGGTGCTATTACTATACCCATTATACAGATGAGGAAACTGGGGCATATAAAGGTTAAGTGACTTGTTCAATGACACCGTGAATGTCTAAGGCTGGATTTGAACTTGAGTATTCTTGATTCCAAGTCCACAGTTCTATCTACTGTGCCACCTAGCTGCCTAGTGGGTACATAGCAGGCTCTCAGAAATGCTTATTGACTGACTGACTAGATGTCCTGTAAGATCCCTTCTACGTCTAACTCCATGGAGGGGGGCTAAGGAAAGGTCAAAGAAGAGATAGGATTGAGACACGGGAGACAGAAAGATACAAAAACAAAGATCAAGAGAGACAAGAGACTAAGTGGGGGGGGACAATAAAGACAGCTGTGTTCAAGAGTAAGCGTACAGGAAGAATAACTCATTTTTTGAGTCAGGAGGACCTGAGTTCAAATCCAGCCTCAGCCACTTGACACTAACTAGCTGTGTGACCCTGGGCAACTCACTTAATCCCATTGCCTAGCCAAAAAAAAAAAAAGAATAACTCATTTCTATAACAATTTCCTCCCAACAACTTAGTGAAGTAGATCTGCGTTTACTGTCATCTCCATTTTACACATGAGGAAACTGAGGCTTACAGGAATCAACACCTTGCTTGTGATCACATAACTAGTAAATGTCAGAGGGAGGATTTGAACTCTGATCTCGAGACTGCATACCCCATGCTCTTTCCATTATGATGCAGTGAGAGTGAAAAGGTACCTAGGACAGTCCCTGCTTCCCCACCACCTCTCCATTCTCTCCCTGTGCCTCAAGCCAGTTTGAAGGACATCCTGAAGATCTAACCTACATTGTCTCCTCTGTATTCTGTTTCCTCCCTTAGATATAGGGAGGTAGCCCAGGTGGGGCTCACTTGCTCACATGTGTGCACACCTACATTCAAAGTTATGCTTGGTGCTAGAGAAACTGTTACCTCCCCAACCTCCCAGCCTGTCTTGGGACCTCTCATCAACCTTAGTTCAGAAACTGGGAGCTCATCCCAGACTTTGTCACATAAGGACTCATCCAGCCCTGGCGATGGCCCTTTAGTAGTTCAAAATGTTCAAGAAAATAGGGCAAAGTGCTTCCCCATCTGGACATGGGGCCTCATAGAGTCTCAGAGACAGAAAGAACCTCAAAGAAAATCGAAGCCCAAGGAGGGGGGTTGGCTTGTTTAAGGTCACACGTGGAATCAAAACCTAGAGCTGGAACTAGAACTGGGGGCTTCTGACTGCCAGCCCAGGTCCCCACTACCCAATGGAGCTGTCTCAGCATCATCATAGAGTGGAGTGCTGGATCTGGAGTGAGGACTGGAGCTTGAACTCAGTGGCTTGCAATAATATCCATGAGACTTTGGAGATCTCGATGGTTCTCTTCTAGCTCTAAATGGTGTGACCACATATGACAGAAGGCTGAGGGCAGAAGGGGAAAGGGCCTGCATCCTCCCCTTGACAAGCCACTACCAGAAGAGGGATGAAGGAAAGAGGCTGAGCAGGCTGGCTGAGGTGATAAATTAGATGGCTCCTCAGGGTCTACTAACCTGGGAAGGAGAGCAGATGTTTTTCCCCAGGCTGAGTCAGTTTGTCCCCACTCTCTCCAGATTCCTCTCCCTCCCTCCACCCCCAGTCTTAGACCAGAAAGTTCCCATGTTTGACATGGGGGGGGAGGGAGGGAGCTGGTCATGTTGACTGTAAACAACCTTCAGGTGGGGGGAGGGGAATTGGGGATACAGTAGCCGAAGAGGAATAAAGAGATAGTACAGGATAAGATCAAAAGGAAAGGTCATTGAGAAGTATGGGTTTTCCCAAGACCCCTTCTCTGGGAAGACTTCTCTGATTGACTACTGACTCCCCACTATCTGTCCCTATCCTGGCATCTACAGCTCAAATTGTCTGGCTCCTCTGCCCTTGTCTCTCTGGTCAGTGTTTCTCTGTCCATACCCTGGTTGTATATCCCATATCTGCCATCAGACTGGGGCCTCTTCAAGGGCAGTGTTTTCTTCATGTGACAGGCTGTGGGTTCCTGCCTGAGAGTGGGGGCAGGGTCTCTGCAATAGGACAGAAATGAAGGGGACTGGAGTGAGAGCTGGGAAGCTTCTCTAGGAGACACTTAGGGCTTACAAATACCTTTGCCTCAGGGTCATTATTCGCCCCACTCCTGTGATTAAACAACCTTGGGCAGGGACATGAGGATAGAAAAGGGGGAGATAGAGCACAGAGCCATCTCCAGGCCCCAGCAGATGCCAGACGGGAGTGTGGTTGTCCAGACAGAAGCACGTCCATGGGAGGTACAGGGAACCTCTGAGGGAGGGAGCGGGTGTTTGATCAGGGGACCCAGGTGTCTGGTTCTCAGTGTCAGGAAGGGAGGGAGCAGGAGAGACCAGAGAGGAAGGGAGAGAAGTGGGAGGAGGGGGTCAGGAGGAACGTGAAGTGGGGGGTAATCAGAGAAGGCTTTGAGATTTGTTTTTCCAGAGTGTTCTCATTAGGGGAGCTCTGAAGAGCCTAGAAGCATGATGGGAAGTGGGATGAGGGGATCCTGAAGAAGGCCCCCTACCCCTTCCTTAAATCTGATTGGTCCAGGGACAGGTGATGGAAATGGTGGGGGGTGAAGAGGAGCTGGTTGCAAATATCTTAGGTCACTTGTCTCTCTCCCTCCCACACACACACACAATTAAAGGCAAATGTTGGTCGACTTTCCTAGTATTGAGGAAGGCTTTATCTGGGTATACATGTTTAGAAATGGGGGTGGAGAAAATGTTAGTGATGGCGAGGTGAGATGGCAGAGTACAGAAGGCAGTTTGCAGGGAAAGAAGAAGAGTAAGATATGAGAGGTATAAGGAAGACAATAGAAATCGAATAAGCAAAGAAAGAATGGCAAGAAATAAATTGGGAGAGGGAAGATTAAGGGAGTTATCAAGATGTCTAAGCTCCTGTGCTTGCCTACATATACACACTCACACACACACGTATGCATGCACCCTATCAAATCTTAAGAAACAATGGCAGGGGGGAATACACATACCGCTATGTCCATGTAGGCCCATATGCCTCCTGAGAAGCGAGTCAGGGACCTAGATGTCCAGGTATGGAGGAGGAGGACGGGGATCAGAGTTGGGAAAAAGCATTTCCTGATCTAGGACAAAGACTGAAAAGTTTGCCCCCTGGGGGGAGTTACTGTCTGCTAAAGGTTAGAGCCCTTGCTGGAACACATGTACATTGACTTATCATATAAAATAAATACCCATAATCATGAAGGGAAGGATTTTCTAGCATTAAAATATACGCTTTTACAAAAAACACTATCTTTGAGTGTACTTCCTTGTATCCTCTTAAGTGATTTGTCTTAGGTGACTGGCTGCTTTGCCTGTCTCTAGACCCAGCTCTCTAGGAACCCAAACTACAAGCTCTGGGAAGGCAACAAATATATCTCCCCCTCGACTGGAACTCCCAGTACCTAGCACAGTGCTGATCACGTAGTAGACATTCAACATGTTTGTTGAATGAAATGAGCAACACCATACCCTGATGTCTAGGTGCCCCAAGTCTGAGTCCCTTTGGGGAGATTGGGGATACGAAAAGCCAGTGTTCAAAGGCCCCAAGCCTAGAGGCCCCATTAGATGAAATTTAATGACAAATGCCCTACACTTGGGTTCAAAAAACCAATTGCGTAAATACAAGATATGAATAGTTGGTGGCAGTTTTAGTGGATGTCAAAGTCAATATGGATCCACAGTGGGCAGGGGGCCAAAATATCGAACACTATTGCAGGCTATGGGGCATCTACGTGGCTTAGTAGATAGAGTGCTGGGCCCAGAGTCAGAAAAACTCATCTTTCTGAGTTCAAATCTGGCCTCAAACACTTATTAGCTGTGTGACCCTGGACAAGTCACTTAACTCTATTTGCCTCAGTTTCTTCATCTGTCAAATGAACTGGAGAAGGAAATGGCAAACTACTCCAGTGTCTTTGCCAAGAAAACCCCAAATGGGATCATGAAGAACTGGATTCAAGTGAAACAACTGAATGAAAACAAAAATATAGCACAGGCTATATTAAAGAAGGTATTGTGTCTAGAATTAAGGAGATGATCATCCCTTTGTACTCTGCCATGATCAGATTACATCTGGGATATTGGCTTCCGTTCTGGGTACCACATTTTAAGAAGGACACTGACAAGTTGGGTATCATCCAGAAAAGGATGACCAAGATGGTGAGAGAGCATCAACAAAGACCAGCTGAAGAAACTGGAGATATTTAGCTCGGAAAAGAAAAGACTAGGGGTAGAGCAGAGGAGACATGATAGTTGGCTTCATTTATGTGGAAGAGAGATTAGATTTGCTCTTCTTGGTCCCAGAGCACAGAGACAGGCAGAAAGAACAGAATGTGATTTGGGCTCCATTTAAGGAAACGCTTCCTAACAAGTGGTGCTGTCCAAAGTTGAAATGGGCTACCCATATAGGAATGTAATGGGGCTCCAGGTCATGGAGGTCTTCAAGCTGAAGACTATCTGGCTAGTTGTCCAGCATATTGTAGAGTGTGTGGTCTAGACTTGATGATCTCAGAGGTCATTGCCTACTCTAAGAGTCTGTGAATCTAGGAGTAAGCAAGGCAGGGTGTCTGCAGGAGTAGGGTATATGGATTTCAGGTTCTCTTGGGGTTAGGAGGCCCAGGATCTAAGTGCCCCTGACCTCCTATCTGTGCCTCCTTCTCCTCTACCCCTCAGTCTGCCCCAGCCTGGACATCCGCACAGAGGTGTCGGAACTCCGGCGACTGGAAAACTGTACCGTGGTAGAAGGCTACCTACAGATCCTGCTTATATTCACAGCAACTGGGGAGGATTTCCAGGGCCTCAGTTTCCCCCGCCTCACCCAGGTCACTGACTACCTGCTCCTCTTCCGTGTCTATGGGCTGGAGAGTCTTCGAGACCTCTTCCCCAACCTTGCAGTCATTCGAGGCACCCGCCTCTTCTTCAGCTATGCCCTGGTCATCTTTGAGATGCCCCACTTGAGGGATGTGGGGCTTCCAGGCTTGGGTGCCATCCTTCGAGGAGCCGTGCGTGTGGAGAAGAACCAGGAGCTGTGCCATCTGTCCACTGTTGACTGGAGCCTGCTGCAGCCAACCACCGATGCCAACCACATCGTGGGCAACAAACTAGGAGAGGAATGTGCTGATGTGTGCCCTGGAATGCTGGGCACCGAGGAACCCTGCATCAGAACCACTGTCAATGGGCTCATGGACTACCGCTGCTGGACTTCTGGGCACTGCCAGAGAGGTGGGTACATATGGGCAGAAAGTGAGCACAGGAGATGGCATTTAGAACAGAAGAAATCATGTAGCCTCTTATTTCATAGCTGAGAGTGATTTACCCAAACAATCCATTGACAGGCACTTATTTAAACACTTACTGTATGCCAAGCACTTCACTAGATGCTAGGGATTTATAGACAAAAGTGAAACAGCCCCTGGCCTGAGAGATTCCTTAGGGAGCAGCAGGTACACACAGCATATATGTATATAAGTAAATATAAAATAAAAGGAAATACAAGGAAATGAGATTCTAAGAGGTGAAGAGGAGGAGGGAAGTCATCCCAGGGTAGGGAACAGCCTTTGCAAAGGCAAGGAGGCAGGGAATGGAGTGTTTCTGCATGAGAAACAGCAAGAAAGCCAATCTGGCAGGACCAAAGCAAGAGGGAAAGGGAGCAACGTATGAGGTTGGAGGAGTCTAGAGAATGGGGGTCTCAGAGGCTGCTCTCTCTCCCCCATCCCCCCCTCCCCACCTAGCATCCAGGGGAACCAGATCCCTGTTGTATCTTGATTCTCCAGGCCTCCCCACCAACCCCGGTGTTGTCTATAAACAGCATTGCTAGTTCTCAAAGTATATGGTATCAACACATCCTGCCCCTGCTCATGGCCCCCTCTCTTACCTAGATCTCTAGCTCTTACCACACAGGGAACCCAGACTCCTGATGCCCCAGCTCTAAACTTACCTATTACCTGCCTTACCCCCATAAGTCTTACCCCTTCCTCCCAGAACTTAAGTAAGACACTGAATGGCTGGTTCTCCAGCAGGGGCATGGTTGTAATCGGCTCTGGAGGTCCTTAATGTGCCCACTATGCCTCCTGAGCAGAGCTTCGTACAAAAGAGCAGCTAGTTCCTACATTGGCATCATGCCTGGCATAAGTCTGGGCACTCAGCCCAGGCAGGAGGGTAGAGAGACACAGCACTGACAAAGCAAGGTGACTGTTCTCTGTCCTGAGCTGCCCCTGAGCACAGGGAAAGAGGCCTAGGCAGAAGGAGACACTCTTGGGCCCTCAGCGAGCCCACCCAAGACACAGGGACAGAGACAGAGACAGAAAGAGAAAAGGGCAGGTGAGTCAGCATGACTGGAGATATAAATGGGGCTGGGGGAAGCTAGATGTCCGGTGATCATGGACACTGCATGCTGTTTAAATAGATGTCTGATTTTCTGACTTCTAAGGTCCCTTCCAACTCTAAGGCACAATTATAACTAAAAAGAACCTACATTCATATCATGTTTTGGGGTTTACAAAACATTTTACTTACAACTGGGTGTCAGGCAGGGAAGGCGTCTGTCTGCAGGACAGGGCTGGGCTGAGGAGGGATAAGAGAAGGGTAATGATGATAGCTGACATTTATATAGCACCTACTATGTGCCAGGCCTAGGCATGGTGCTAAGTGTTTACAAATATTATCTCGTTTTATTCTTGCAACAACCCTGGGAGGTAGGTATTATTACTATTATCACCACCTTACAGTTAAAGAAACTGAGGCAGAGCTGTTAAGTGACTTGCTCAGGATCACACAGCTAAAAAATATATGAGGCCAGATTTGAACTCCAGGCTCACCGCTCTATCAATTGCACCATCCACTTCTCTCTTAGGTACACTGGAGATAATCTGGGTAAAGACTCACATACTGGGGAAAAGGAGGCAAACAGGGGAGATGGGGTATTGGTAGAGAAGTGGGTCTCTCTGGATCTATGCCTGCTGGGAGAGGCTGGCACTACCCCTGATACCCATTCTGCCCCATACCCACAGTGTGCCCATGTGCCAGGGGCCTGGCTTGCACCTCAAGGGGTGAGTGCTGCCATCCTGAGTGTTTGGGAGGATGCAGTTGGCCCAACGACCCCCAGGCATGCGTGGCCTGTAGGCACTTCCACTTTGGAGGGACTTGCCATTCCACCTGTCCTAGAGGCACCTACCAGTATGAAGCCTGGCGCTGTGTCACTGCGGATTACTGCGCTAGCCTCCGGGCGCTGCCTGACCTCCCCGGCCGAGTCTCCGACTTTGTCATCCATCAGGGCAGCTGTCTGGCCCAGTGCCCTCCAGGGTACACCCACAATGATAGCAGGTGAGTCCTGGATTCCCAGGTGGGCAGGGGAAGGGTGGGAATGCCCCCCCAAGTATTCAGGGAGGAAGGACTATGGGGATAAGACTTAGGCATCCAAGAAAGGGGGACAGTAAGGACAGAGCCAAAGTGTGTGATGGATGAGGACAGTAAGGATGGAACCCTAGGGGAGGGTGAGAACAGTAACAGGTCTCTAGGGTATGAGGGTGAGAGCATCCCATGTCTAATGTTCCTATAAATCAGAGCCAGGTTCCGGGTCTGGAAAGGATGGGAGCCCAGCCTACTCCAGGGTCTGAGGGAAAGGGGCAACCCCGATGACTGGGTCCTGAGGCACTCATAGTCTCCTCCTCTCTCCTTCCTCCCACAGCATCTTCTGCCATAAGTGTGAGGGGTTGTGCCCCAAGGAGTGTAAGGTTGGCACCAAGACCATCGATTCCCTGCAGGCAGCCCACGAGCTCATAGGCTGTACCCATCTGAAGGGCAGCCTCATCCTTAACCTACGTCAAGGCTGTTAGTAGACCCTTATTCCCATCACCTTACCCCTCCCGCCAGACCAGAGCAGGGCCCATTCTGGAGCCCCCTTGGGATATTCCCTCCCGTGGATCAGGCCTTACTCCCTGCTTGATTCCTTTCTTGGCTCATGTCCCAGGCCCTCAAAGGACAGGTTCTTTCCACTGACCCAACCCAAAGATCCTACCCTATTTCTCAGCCCTTCAATCAATCAATGAACATTTATTAAGTACCTGCTATCTGCCAGGCACTGTGCTAAGCCCAGTCATGCTTGCTTTTCCTCCCTTTTCCTCCATTGCCCTGCCTTAAGCTGACTCCCTCCCTTCTCTGATCAGATAATTTAGAGACAGAATTACAGCGAAGTCTGGGCCTCGTAGAAACCATCACTGGCTTCCTCAAAATCAAACACTCCTTTGCCCTCATCTCCCTGGGATTCTTCAGGAACCTCAAACTCATCCGGGGAGACTCCATGGTGGATGGGTAAGAGGTGGTGGGTGGGGTGCGTGGGGATCCTGCCTATGCTCGGTATGACCAGCCCATGCTCCATGCCCACTTCCTCCTCAGAACCTCCCGTCTGTTCTGGGAGGGAGCCAGAGCATGTGGTGCCATCTTGAATAGATGCTGAGAGAGACTCAGAGATTTGCCCTAGGTCCCACAGCAATGTATGGGGAGGCTGCTCAGAGCTCAAACAACGACTTCTTGTATTAGAGGCAATAATGCCAACAGCCATGGGTGCAGCCACATGGGGAGAGAGGACAACCCATCCCTACAGAGAATCTGGCCCATGCCCCTGGAAGCATTAGGGGGGAAGATGGGCCCTAGCAGAGAGGTGGCATCCTAAGGGCAGTTGGGGCCAAAGCCAGTGGAGAAGCAGGGACAGCAGATGTCACAGGAACCCGCGGCATACCCCACCCCCAGATCACCTTAGGGTAGATCCTTAACTGCCCTTCACTGTTACAACTTCTCAGCCCTCTCTCAGACCTTGGGGCCCAGGCATATGTGCCTTTCTACCCCCCTCCATTCCCTGTAGTATCCCTGCCACCCTCATAAGCAGGTTCCTGCACTCACCTTATGGCAGCCAGCCTCTCTTCACCTCAAGTTCCAGACCCCAGACCTCAGGCCTCTCTCCCTAGGAACTATACGCTCTATGTGTTGGACAATCAAAACCTGCAGCAGCTGGGGGAGTGGGCAGAGGCTGGGCTGTCCATCCCTGTGGGGAAGATATATTTTGCCTTCAATCCACGCCTTTGCCTGGAACACATCTACCAGCTTGAGGAGGTGACGGGAACTCGGGGCCGGCAGAACAAGGCTGAGATCAATCCTCGAACCAATGGAGACCAAGCAGCCTGTGAGGAAGACACATGCCCTGGGGTGCAAACATGGGATGGGAATCTTGGGAAGGTCCCTAGAGAGGCAGGATTGGGGGTACAGCCTAGGTGGGGAAAGGGAGTTCAGCTGTATGGGGAGAAAGTTGGGGCTGAAGATGGGTTGGGATTGTAGCAAACTCATAGGAACTAGAGATGAAAGCCATTTTTCAAATGAGGAAGCTGAGGCTCCAGAGAAGTTAAGTGACTCATTCAAGATTTGTAGCATATGAAAGTAAGAAGGCAGCAAGTGAAGGAGCTTGGAATCAAACACGCCTTCTCTGACTCCAGATCAAATGCTCTTTCTACTGTAGTCAGGTCAAAGTTGAAGATGGGCAGTAGGAAGGGTAGGCATAAAGGTCTCACATAGAATAAGTGGCAAAGCCAGGATTATCTCAGGTCCTCTTACTATTATGTCCTCTACAGCAATATTGATGCAGAAAGTGCCATTACCCACCCCGATAGCTTTGGAGTTTAGCAACAACAACAACAACAACTTAAAAATAGATGGTGTCAGATAGACTTCAAGAGAAATGACAGCTCTGGGTCTAGAGTCAAGAAGACCTACATTCAAATCCAGCCTCAGAAACTGACTAGCGAGATGGTCCTGAGCAAGTCACTTAACCTCAGTTTCTTCATCTGTAAAATGGGGATAGTAATAGCACCTACCTCGTAGGGTTGTTGTGAGGATGAAATGAGAGAATATTTGTCAAACACTTAGCACAGTTCCTGGCACATAGTAGATACCGCACAAATGTTAGCTTTTGTTAATATTAACTTACATTTATATAGCATTTTCAGGCTTACAGAGAACTTTCCTCACAACTCTGTCATGCTCTCAACAAGGTCATATATTATCCCTCATTTTCAGAGGAGGAACCTGTCATCAGAGCGGTTGAATGACTTACCCAGGTTCACGCAGTCAGTAAGCATCAGAGCCAAGCTTTAAACCCTGGTTTCCTGATTTTGGCTTAATACTTTTTCCATCACACAGAGCTGCTCCCCTTATTACCTAGGCTGAGGAATAGAGAGGTAAGCACCCAGCCTGATAGTACCATCCATCACCATTTTCTTCAGGCAAGACCCGACCTCTCCGGTTTGTCTCCAATGTGACAGAATCAGATCGAATCCTCCTTCGCTGGGAGCGCTATGAACCACTTGAGGCTCGAGACCTCCTCAGTTTCATCGTTTACTACAAGGAGTCGTGAGTGTGTGTGAGGGGGAAGGGAAAGGAGGGATCCTGGGGGAAGATGTAGGGGCCAGGGGCTACATTCCTTTTTCATTGTTAGTGATTTAGACCATTTTTTTTCATCTAGCTATTGACAGCTTGGATTTTTTCCTCTGAAAACAGCCTACTTATATCCTTTGTCCATTTATCAGTTGGGGAATAACTCTTTTTATACATTTGAATCATCCCGGAATTGCATTCCTAATAGTGGCCACTATTTTGGTTGAGAGAGGGAAGAGTAAAATGGGAAGAAGGAAGAGTCTGGGGAGAGAATCCCATTCTTGGGGGAACACAGCAGTGGTGAGAAAAACAGATTTTTTTCAGTTATTTAGGGCATCATAGCCCCCCTATAGGGAAAGGAGAGGGCCCAGGAGGAAAGAGAGAAAGTATTTGGAATCAAATGACTGTTGTCCAAATTTTGGACCAGCAGGACCCGGAGCAAATGCTTCCCTTCTCTGAGTTTGTCAGTTAGCTGTAGGGTCTCTTCCAGCTGAAAACATCATGAGCAGAAATTCCAGAACACCTAGATCTCCCTCCCTAATAGCAGAATATGTCAATTTCGTTCAATTCAATAAGCATTTATTAAGCACATTTATTCCTTTTTATTAATTATATAATTTATTAATATCAATCTAGTTTATTGATTTATTATTTGTTAATATTAAGCAAATCTGTTAATTTATTGATTAAATTTATGTATTCACATGCCAGGTACTGTGCTATGTTTTGGGGATACAAAAGCAAAATAAGATACAATCCCTGCCCTCAAAGAGTTTATAATCTAGAAAAGGGTGTGACATAGATAAGTCTAGGATAAAGTAGAATGTTCAAGGAGAAGATCCAGACAGAATGGTCTAGGAAAATTTGAGGAAGAGCTTATTTTTAGTTGGGGGATGAGGTAGAAGCAGGGAGGACGTGACTCCTGAGCTGGGGTTGTAAGGAAAAGTTTCAGCCAGCAGAGGCGAGGAGGGAGTTAGAGGAGAGTGTGGCATAGTGGAAACCACCCTAAACTTGGAGTCATAGGGCCTGAGTTCAAATTCCAGCTCTGCCCCTAACTATGTGTGTGACTTCGGACAAATCCCTTGACTCTTCTGGGCATCCCCTTTCTCATCTGTAGAATGAAAGGGGTGGACCAGATGACCTTTCTTGCAGCTCAAGCCCCACGGCTCTAAAACATCCCAGTTCCCTTCTCTTTCATTCCTAATGCTGTTCCACCCCACTCCCATTCATTGTATTTTAGCCTGTAGTCGATAGGGACCCACTGAAAATTCTTGAGCACGGAAGTAAAGCAGTCCCACTTGTGTCTTAGCAAGATTATTCTGGCAGCTGTTTGAGGGAGGGTAAAAGGAGGCGGGGAGATCAGTTAAGAGTTTTTTTGTTATTCAGTTGTGTCCACTCTTTGTGACCCCATGGACCATAGCACACCAGGCCTTTCTATTCTCCATTATCTCTTGAAGTCTGTTCCAGTTCATGTTTGTTGCTTACATGACAATATCTATCCACCTCATCTTCTACCATCCCCTTTTCCTTTTGCCTTCAATCTTTCCCAACATCAGAATCTTTTCCAATCTTTTCACTATGTGGCCAAAGTATTTAAGTTTCAGCTTCAGTACTTGACCTTCTTTTTTTTTGTAATTTATGTATTTATTTTTAGTTTTCAACATTCACTTTGATAAGATTTTGAGTTTTAAATTTTCTCCCCCTCCCTGTCCTCCCCCCCTCCCCAAGATGGTGTGCAATCTGATATAGGCTCTACTTATACATTCATATGAAGCATATTTTCACATCAGTCATGATGTAAAGAAGAATTAGAACTAACGGGAGGAACCACAAGAAAGAAGAAATAAAACAACAAAAGAAAAGGAGAGCAAATAGTATGCTTCCATCTACATTCAAACTCCATAGTTCTTTCTCTGGATGTGGATAGCGTTTTCCATCATGAGTCTTTTGGAGTTGTCTTAGATCCTTGCATTGCTGAGAAGAGCTAAGACTATCAAAGCCAGCATCTCATAATGTTACTGTGTACAATGTTCTCCTGGTTCTGCTCATTCCTCTCAGCATCGGCTCATACAAGTCTTTCCAGGTTTTTCTGAAGTCTACCTACTCATCGTTTCTTATAGCACGATAGTATCCCATTATATTCACATACCACAACTTGTTCAGCCATTCCCCAATTGATGGGCATCCCCTCAATTTCCAATTCTTTGCCACCACAAAAAGAGCTGCTATAAATATTTTTGTACATGTGGGTCCTTTTCCCATTTGTATGATCTCTTTGGGATACAGCCCTAGAAGTGCTATTGCTGGGTCAAAGGGTATGCACAATTTTATAGCCCTTTGGGAATAGTTCCAAATTGCTCTCCAGAATGGTTGGATCAGTTCACAACTCTACCAACAAGCATTAGTGTTTCAATTTTCCCACATCTTCTCCAACATTTATCATTTTCCTGTTTTGTCATGTTGGCCAATCTGATAGGTGTGATGTGGTACCTCAGAGTCGTTTTGATTTGCATTTTTCCAATCAATAGTGATTTAGAGCATTTTTTCATATGACGATAGTTTTAATTTCTTCCTCTAAAAACTTCCTATTCGTTATCCTTTGACCATGTATCAATTGGGGAATGACTTGTATTCTTATAAATTTGACTCAGTTCTCTATATATTTTAGAAATGAGGCCTTTGTCAGAGATACTGCCTGTAAAAATTGTTTCCCAGATTTTCTGCTTCCCTTCTAATCTTGGTTGCATTGGCTTTGTTTGTGCAAAAAACTTTTCAATTTAATTTAATTTAAATCATCCATTTTGCATTTCATAATGTTCTCTATCTCTTGCTTGGTCATAAATTCTTCCCTCCTCCACAGATCTGATAGGTAAACTATTCCTTGCTCTCCTAGTTTATAGTATCAATTTTTTATCTTGGTATAGGATGCAAGATGTTGGTCTATGCCTAGTTTCTGCCATACTATTTTCCAGTTTTCCCAGCAGTGTTTGTTACATAATGAGTTGTTATCCCACAAGCTGGAGTCTTTGGATTTATCAAATAGTAGATTACTATGGTCATTGACTGTTGTGTCTTGCATACCTAACCTATTCCACTGATCCACCACTCTATTTCTTAGCCAATACCAAGTAGTTTTGAGGATTGCTGCTAATTAATTTCTTTTAAGTAATAATTGATTTGACCTCCTTGCTGTCCAAAGGACTCTTACAACAGGGAATATTACAAAATGTGATGGGATCCTAAAACACAGAGGTGACAGTACAAGTGAGCCATGCAAGCCAAAGAGAGCATGGAGGTAGAATGGCAGACCTTAGCAACATGCTGGGCATGTGGAGTGAGGGAGAGAATCAATCAGTCAACATTTACTAAGCATCTAGAGAAAGCCCAAGTTTTCAAGTCTGGGTGACTGGGAGGACAACGGTTGTCATCATTACCAATAGAAAAGTTTGGAAGAGGGGTGATGTAATAGGAAAGTGGATGGGGACATTTTGAGCTTACGGCCATTGTGGGATGCCCATGGAGATGCCCAATAGTCAGTGATGTGGGACTAGAACTCATGGGAGACATTAGAGCTGAGCATGTAGATTTGGGCAGCTAGGTGGCACCATTGTGAAAAAAGTGCCAGTCCTAGAGTCTGGAAGACTCATCTTCCTGAATACAAATCTGGCCTCAGACACTTACTAGCTGTGTGACCCTGGGCAAGTCACTTAATCCTGTTTGCCTCAGTTTCCTCATCTGTAAAATGAGCTGGAGAAGGAAATAGCAAACCCCTCCAGTGTCTTTGCCAAGAACACCCCAAATGAGGTCGCAAAGAGTTGGACACAACTGAAATGACTGAACAACAACAAAAATGTAGATTTGAGAGACAGCTACATAGAGGCGATAATTGAAGCCATAGGAGTAGATTAAATCACCAAGGAAGATAGTGTAGAGAACACAGAAGCCCCAGAACTGAGGCTGGGAGTATAGCCAAATTTAAATGGAAAGAGGATAATTAACAGCTGAAGGAGTCTGAAAAGGGGCAGTGAGATGGATAGAATGAGAACCTGGAGGGAGAAGTAATACAGAAGTCCAGGAGGAGGAAGGAGGTGGTCAATGGTGTCAGATGCTGCAGAAAGATCCAAGAGGATGTGAACTTTTAAACTTTAAAAAATGCTGTTGGACTTCACAGTTAAGAGATCATAATCTTTGAGAGGAGAGCTTCAGGACAGAACAGAGGCTGAACCATCACAAGGGTGGAGAAGTGAGTGGGTGGAGAGGAAGTGGAGGCAGTGAGTGTAGATTACTAATGCAATCAAGTCAACAAGCATTTGGTAAGTACCTACTACGGTCAAATGTTGGCAAATACAAAGAAAGGCAAAAAACCAGTCTTTGCCTTTGAGGAGCTCATACTCTAATCGGGGAATTCACCCTTTAATGGATTCTCAAAGTCGAAGCCTTCTAATCTAACCATTAGCTGGCCAATGAGCTACACTGGTAAGGGAGGGCCCCCTTTACCTCCTGAGGCAGTCCATTTCACTTATAGATAGCATGCATTATTAGGAAGGTTTTCCTTACATCCATCTTGAGCCTCTCTCTTTGCACCTTCTACTCATTGCTTCTAGTTTTGTTTTGTAGTCAAGCAGGACAAATTTCATCCTTCTACATGGCAGCCCTTCAAATACTTAACAAAGATCAAATGAGATCCTATTTGTAAAGCACTTAGCACAGCCTGGCACATAGTAGGTGCTTAATAAATGTTTGTTCCTCTTCAGAGACAGTCATCATACTCCCCACCCCCCAGCAAGTAAACTTCTCAAAAGTAAACTTCAGGGGGCAGCTAGGTGGCACAGTGGGTAGACCACCAGCCCCAAAGTCAGGAGGACCTGAGTTCAAATCCCGGCCTCAGACACAAAACGCTTACTAGATATGTGACTCTGGGCAAGTCACTTAACACCACCTGTCTAACAACAATAACAACAAAAAGTAAACTTGAT